GAGGCCTTGAATAACTCACTAATGTCAAATAACCAGCTCCGTATATATGAACTTTGTGCGAACACGACCGATGTCTGAAACAATGTGCATAGTAGAGGCACGAGAGGAATATTGCAGATAAGAGCGCTATTTGGTCCGAGAATTCGATGGCCTCCCCTCTCTGAAGCTTTGCCGTGGCTTTCTTCGTTGGCTAAAAGTAACGATTACAGAGTAAAGGATGGTGGAGGAACATTGTGTAACAAAATGACGATGTGTGAGCATTTGTCTGTTAAACGTCAGTTTCGGTCATATTCGAGAATACAAAACTAGTTGTTGACACTATCAAGAACCGTTTTATCCCTACAAGCATTTGAACCACATACATAACTAGTCAACACATTTCTGCAGGCATCAACGTGACTAGGTATTCTTTAGCTGAAGACCTGTGAAGATACGGGGCAGAATAGGTCTTCAGCAATCCCTGCTTGGCGTAAAAGGCGACTATGCTTGTCGTTAGAGGCGACTAACGGAACGGGTGGCCACATGGTCAGGCTCGCTGAGTTGGTTGATGCATGTCATTGATCCCAATTGCGTTGATCGATGCTCATGATATAAATCACTGGATAGTCTGGTTCAGACTTTATTATTTACAGACCGCCGTGATGTAGCTGGAATATTGCTGAGTGCGGCGTTAAACAACAAACACACAAACAAACTTGATGGTAAGTTTGAGTTATATTACATTCCATCATTTCCATCTGTTACAAAAATATACAAACCTTAGATCATCGTTCAATTAAGAACAAAATTCGAAACGCCCACAGTTTATAACTACGATTTAACGTTGACATTCATTAACGTTTCATGTTTCAAGGTGTCATTGCCACACACTGAATTGTAAATATTTGAGCGTCAAATTGTACTGTACTGCCTGCATGTCCCCATCTGATATTCTTAAACCCGAAACACGTCGTCTCTGTAATGGTATTGTCTTGAATTCGAATCCCTGATTCGTACAAGTTCTTGCTTTGTGAGCACAATTACCATATTGCTTGTGTTCAGAGGACTGGATTGTGTTACTGGATTTTCTGGTCCTCACTTGATAGTCTGATACGTCGGGCAACATCAACAACAACAAAAAAGCATTTTAATGCAAATTGTGTGAGTGGCGGTTGCAACAGGTAGGGCCAGTTATGCGTACCCTGTTGCACATTTGGTGTGATCACTGATTTTCAGTAATGCATTTCTATAATTGCCATCATCATAAGTTTTAGCCTTTTACGCCAAATGTTCGTGATCGTGAATGATTATTCTCTTGCGTTGACGTTCTATCTTTACATTTAGAACGATACAACAAGTCCAATGTCCCGTACTTGACAATTCCGTTCAATATGGGCCGTGGGGTTGTCTGGTGGTCAAATATTCAGTCGTCACGCTGAAGACCCGGGTTCGTGTGTTACGCCCCTTTCTGGTTCCCCCACCCTGCTGTTGCTGGAACATAGCTCAAAGCGGTGAAACACTCACTCACTCTTTCAATTTAACAATACTCTCTAGCACAAACAAGCAGTGACCCAGATGGGTTGTCCGGGTAAGAATTGAGTCGCAGTGCTGGTTGTAAGAGACAACCAAATGGATTGTTGCAGTCACCCATTAGTGACCCGTGATGATTACGGGGTAGAATAGGTCTTCAGCAACCCATGCTTGCCGTAAAAGGTGACTAACGGGATCGGGTGGTCAGGCTCACGGACTTGGTTGATGCATGTCATCAATACGAATTGCGTGGATTGATGCTCATGATATTAATCACTGGTTTGTCTGGTCCAGACTCGATTATTTACAGACCGCCGTCATATAGCTGGAATATTGCTGAGTGCGGCGTTAAACAACAAACCAACCAACCAACCAATGGCGATGTGTTGTGTATGGTTGCTTGTAATATCAATCACTGGATTGTCTGGTTAAGACTCGATTGTTTACAGGCCGCCGTCATATAGCTGGAATATTGCTGAGGGCGGCGTCAACTAACAAACGCACATCCAACATACAGTGAAGTCTCTTTAATTCAGACGAGGCCGGATTAGCGTATGATGAACATGGTTGGTTGGTTTGTTGTTTTACGCCGCACTCAGCAATGGACACCGAGAAGCATCAACACGTCTATGTGTACAAGACCCGTGAAGACCATGCTTGCCGTAAAAGGCGACTAACGGGATCGGGTGGTCAGGCTCGCCAACTTGGTCAATGCATGTTATCGATCCCAATTGTGTGGATTGATGCTCATGATATCAATCACTGGATTGTCTGGTCCAGATTTGATTATTTATAGACCGCCGTCATATAGCTGGAATAGTGCGGCTATAAACAACAAACTAAGTAACTATGTCAGAAAGTGGGTTACCGGAAAGCCAGAGTTCAGAATAAAGGACTTTCACTGTATACTATGTTTGATGTATAATCTGTTTAATGTGTATTTGGCTGCTGTACTTAAAGTCAGTTGTACACCAGAGCAATGCAACACTGAAGGGGCCTGTGATATTGCCATCACGATGATACACAATGAGATCACAAGTGTAGTTATTGAGAATCAGGAAGTACTCAGGGCAGTACACGAGTAGCTCGTGGTGTGTCAAATATAGACTGCAGATGTCAATGATATGACAAGACGGAAATGTTACATGAGTTCCTTGTACCAGACCTACACCAGAAGCGAGACGAATCTGAAATATCGACAGGATAACAACAAGCGATATTCAAAGGTGTCCATCTGTGTCGATTTGAAAGTCTATGAAGTCAGCACTCCTGCCGACTAATGCAAATGTGCACACCTCTTTTTCGTTGGTACCTTCATCAACAAAAAACTACATATTGAAGTAATGTGTTTGAAACTGTAACTAATATATGGTCTTGTGCCTCTAAGATAACTAGAATTACCACACAAATATGCTGCTTTGAAATGGTCGTGTTTAACATTTGAACAAGCAGGACGATACATACAGCGTATCAGATACATGTCGTAGGCATCCAAAGGCCTGATATCTATACTGACATATTGCTCTGGTTATTCTCGTCATGTGTTTGTGATGGCGTAAGTGGTGAGCAACCCAGCAACACAGTTTTTTTCTTCTTTTTTTAATGAAACTACTCTTTACATTAATTTTATAATATACGTCAAGGCATCGGCTAAATTTGCATTGACAATAAATCAACTCTTTCCCTGGTTAGTTTGGCTGTCAATTTGCAAGTAAGTAGTATCTAAATCCTGAGAAAATTGTTTTGGTAATGACGTGGATTTAGGTGGATGTTTTGGGTACCCTAATATTCCTTACATAGACATCTTGAGGATATATGAAAATGACGGTAACCTAGCCTTGTGTCAGAAATGAAATATTGAAATTCTTTTCAAAATAAACGTCTCCTTTGAAACCAATACTTGGTAACAAAAGTTGATTGAGTGTTCCTATTTCAATTTCCTATAAATTTGGTTAATGTGTGATTGACTTCTGTATCGTTTACGTCAAACATCTTGTTGACATTGATGCGAAATCTTAGGAACAGAAAAAACAAAATGGATCACAAGAGCTAAATCATAATGGACAATCAATCGACATGTATAAAGGATTTGACATGGAGAATGAATATTCATTACGAACTGACCATCACTTGTGCATTCTCTGGATGAGAGGGGCTCAAGGTTGTTGGCTGGTACTAGTAACATCCCAGAGCCAGGTACTGCCATTTTGTAGAAAAGTATTTCGACACTCGGTCGTTTGTGAAGGCCAATTTCAAACCGCCGACCAATGCTACGCACAACTTGAGTCCATCACTAAGCCAACACCCAATCGGTCGTGTTGTGCTTTGTTATGCTGCTGGCAGCCGCATGAACCCATCTCCAGATATGAAGGCATCTTCAACATGTTCATAACATTACTTCAGACCTGTGTACAGATGTGTCGCAGCTCACTGTGCAACTCACATAGCTGATATAGTTAATAGTGTTGTGGGTTCGAATCCCATATTTGCGCCAATTATGATTCTTGGTCTGAAATCTTAATCTCTCCTACGTCATTCATCACTTTGGGCTTTCCATCCTAAATAAACTCACCTCTCTCATCCCAACAAGAATCTATTTTAGACATGTTCACATTTCTTAATAGAACACGTTGCATTTGATATTATTCAGACCGATGACCTGCGTGAAGAAATGATATCTGAGAACCGAAATATTTAACAGCACATGGGAGCATAAATAACCGCCATTAGCTGATAATTCTTTATGATCATGGTGAGTGAGTGAGTGAGTTAAATTTTACATCGCATCGGCAATATTTCAGCCATATAGCGATGGGAACTAGGTATTAAATCTAAAATATCTGTCGACAAAGGACAGTAAAATAGTAAGGTATATCACAGTTTTTAATCAAACAAACTAGATCATAATTTCTTTCAAAATAATATATAGGTATAATAGATTAAGTTCTATCAATTAAAACAAGGCTTATGATCATGGTGTAGTGATAAGTACATTTGTAGACAAACAAATTCGAAGTGTCCATATTTGTATATTTGGCAGTAAGCAGTTGAAAACACAACAGTGCATTCGTGTATGTTTCTTCGAGAGTTGACATGTGCGTTATTACGTAACACAACACTAGGCCTTACATCTTGTATATTATTGATAAGAAGTAAATATGTTCATAACCAAACTGACGGCGAAACTCTACTCATTTGATAAATTCATGTAATGTTCAAGTCCATGGAAAACACTCGCATATTTTCTTAAGATCGTAAGAGCAATATTTAACTACGCATAGATCGTTTATAAAAGACTTTTCAAAAGTAAAAATAAATAATTATCCACAGACGAATGTTTTAAAATATTATACTAAGCGATAGTTTCTTCCTTATTCAATAGTCTGCTTTGAATTACTTTCTATTATATATTCCCTATTCTACCCTGACAAGAACAATAAATAGCTAAATGAGCTGTTATTTTACGCCTATTATGAAGCATTGTTATTCAAGTAGCAGTAAGGGAGGCTATTGTGCACTTGCACAAGGAGGAAGTACTATACCACACACAGAGATATAATATGTATTGCTTGTGTCGGTACTCGATCAGTGCAACATGGCATGTCTTCCAGTAACATACGCTCTGTGCTGGCTGGTTATGGCTTTAAGTGTATCAGAAGCCAAAGAGGAAACAAAAAGTAAGTATGCATGTAATTATATTTACCAAAATAAAGGCGATACATTACATATTTTAGGCACTCATGCAAAGTGTACGTCCATGAAATACACTCGCATATTCGAAAAACTGGAAATAACTAACGCATATAATGTTTACATTATAATTATTTATCATCAGAAAGATGTTTTTACGTTCAAGATGTCGATTACATGCGATTTATATTCATGTACATTACGTGCCAGGCAAAATTAAGTTTACGCACATTTTCGGTGGTGGCAAAATAATGAAACAAACAAGAAATGAATATTCATTGGTGATGAACTGATACGGGTACCATTGCTGTGTTTTGGGCGTTATGTTTGAAGTGTTTTTGAGACTGTTTCTGGCATAGTTTTGATAACGCTTGTAAGGCTTCAGTAAAATCCAATATTCAAGTGTATAAATTATTTTGCCTGGCAGGTAATATATCGTTGTTATAATTCGGGGCAATTACACGTACCGACATTAATACAGACCGTCTTACTGCTTATGACCGACCACTGCTGATGGCGTAGATCATTCACAAGTGATTACATTTGGACACGGTACTGCTCATCAATTGTACTTTGGCTTTCAATCGGTGTTGGGAATACGTTTTGCGTGTATTTGTTGTCGTTCAGAACAGTCCTTTCAAAACATCAACACTAGAAGACGGCAAAAATGTGACGAAAATTATATAAACGGACAACTGGAAATCTCAGCTTTCACCAAAAAATGTCCTGTTCTTACGCTAGCTTCCGCCAGTCACACAATTTGAATACAAAATCAAGTGTTGTTGTCTAAATCCGCATTCCTGCCATAATTAGAGCCGGTGGTCTGGCTCGCTGACTTGGTTGATGCCATCGTATGTTATGTCAATCACAAGCAGCTTTTGACTGGTGTGATTTGGATTTTATTGTGTAGCCAAGAACCAACTCTCTCTATGATGATATTAGATATCCAACTGAGGTGTCAGCACATGTCTTGCTTATGATGATAATGAAGCAAGGTGAAATTAGATAGATTAATGTTTCGGGGACCATTGACAGGACCTCTTCCGTGTGGTAAGGTTTGGTAATTTACCTTTATATCACATGTGCTTCTCAGTATCTGGACCACAGGTGCCAATCTAAATGACAAGTATACGAATTCATCACGTTGACACCATTAAAGTGGGCAGCATAGTCACATAATAATTATGTATTGTGTACATTTGGGAAACAATGGCAAGTACTGACACAATACGGGCAGTCATCAAGTTTCTTTACTTCAAAGAAAAGTACTTTCCAAGAAATTCATGACCGCATATCACAAGTGTATGAGGATAAGAGCCCTAGCTATTCCACTGTTAAACGTTGGGCAGCTATGTTTAAGACTGGGAGAACAAGCCTTGATGATGACCCTGGGTCTTGGCGTCCCTCAACTTCTTCAATGAAGATTCAATCAAGGAGATAGAAAGACTTATACTGTCAGAAAGATGACTTACCATTGCTGAACGTGAGGAAGACACAGGTATAAGGCATGGATCCATGGAAACTATTACTAGTATTCCTGAACATTTACAGATGAATAAGATATATCCTTGTTGGGACCCAAAGCTTTTAAATTCTGAACTTAAGGAAAATAATGAACAATTATTGCCAGAGAAAATTGAGAGCAAATGGAGGAGGATTTCATCAAATTAAAAACATATATGAGTACCTTTTGATAAAACATTGGTCAACAACTTTGATTCCGAGGCAAAAACGTCAATCAGTTGAATGCCACCATTTCACATACATACATCGTTTGTGGATGGCAAAATTCATACCGAACAATCCTACGCACAACGGGTCTCTGGACATTATAATAGCGAACTCCTAGATTAGTCTGTGTTCTGTGGGAGCTGTAGGTGAGTCCATCTCAAAGCCATTACCCCTCAGGCGTGTTGTGCTTTGTTATGCTGCTGGTTGCGGCATGAGCCCTTCTCCAGATATGAAGGCATCCTCATCATATTCATATTACTACATAATTACATATTTGTTGTGTTCATTGAAATTCCCGCATTCAGATTATCTGAACTGGTCACGTGTTATTGCATTCACTTCTCAATGAATGTGAAACATTAAGCAACGCCCACCGAGGCGCACTAATTTTATTACTGAGGAATGTCCGGGATTCCCAATATTACAGTTAAGGGAATTCCCTTTCTGCTCACATGTATTGTCATGCGCAGGACACTTAGCTACATTTATGAATATTCATTGTCCAAACTACCCTTTGAAACCGTAGGCCGAGAACAGTGTAACAGCAAACGTGCAGGCTCGCTCGCCTGATTTCCCGCTTGCCTCGGTTCCATAACTTTAATGTCTTCGGGTTTCATTTCTAACTAGCATTTTTCCAACTCTATTTTCCCGTTTTCAGGGAACTAATGTTCGAATCTGGAGGTAACTGACCATGTTATTTGAAACAACCGCCTTGTCCCGGACATATTCTTCCGGTACGTTACCGTATGACTGTTGCAGGTCTTCTCGTCTCGCCTTAACTGACAGGTCCTAAGAACATTGTTTTGATCCTACTCTCCGTTGATTGGCTACTGTCTGTGCAAAACCGGTGTGCAAACTTTTGTACAAATCCTCTACTCAAAAAAAACAAAAAAAGAAAATGATACACAGTTAACACTTAATGGATTTAGTGAAAAGTCATCGAATCTTACTGTGCAACTCACATAGATGCCATTATGTGGTGGTTCGAATCGCATATTTGCCCAAATTAAGAGCCCAATTTAACAAAGAGAACATGGTGCATTTTCTGTTATTCAGACCGATAATAATATCTGATATATAATATCTGAGAGCTGAAATATATAAAAGGTACTGTGAACATTAGTAATCTCCATCAGCTGATAATTCTTTACGATTATGTTATTGTAATAAATAATTCTAGTAGACACACAAATCAAAGTAAGCATGTATGTGTTTTTGCAGTTAGCAATTGAAAACATAACTGTACGTTTTTATCTGTTTGTTTGAGAGATGGATAACATGAACTATCTTACTGCCAAACATGCGACTACAGCAGACCTTAGATCTTGTGCATTTTTTGTAGTAACTAAATAACCAGCCTAAAGGTGAACCGCTACTAATTTGAGGCTTGTTTTCTTAAGATCGTTAGAGCAATATTCAACTTACATGAAACTCGTTTATATTGTAAGGATTTGTTATGTAAAAATGACTACTTCACTGACAATTGTTTAATATACGATGGTTGGTCAAAAGGTTCTAAGCCTAGCAAACAAAACCAATAATTTTGAAGTGTTTTATCTCTTATTTTTCAAAACATTCTCCCGACATTTTAATTAACTTCTCATATCGATAGTGAAGCTTTTCTGTTCCACCCTTCACGGCAGCTTTGAGGTCATCGTTGTCGTCATAACGCTTTCCATAAATGCTCTTCGAACCCACATCGTCGCACAGCAGCGTTTGCGAGTCGAGAGGTGTGAGAAGAGGAATTGTCATGCTGCTTTTCTTTGATAGAATGTCTTAGGCAATGAAGCAAAACACCTTAGTAGGCACCGGGCTTTTGACTTTCTAAGTAATTTACAAGGCTCACACTCTTTGCATCCTGGAATACAGTGACCATAACTTTCCCCACTAGTCTTGAAGACTTGGTTTTCTTTGGTGTCAGAGAAGTGATATTTTGACTCGGGATCACATTGGTAGCCCCATGTTTCACCACCTGCTACTAATTACTTTTTTGAAGTTGACGACATCCTCTTCAATTATTTTTAAATTTTCCTTAAGATCAGAATTTAAAAACAAAACAAACTTTGGCTCCCAACAAGCATAAATCTTATTCCTCTGTAAATGTTCATGAATACTAGTAATAGTTTCCGTGGATCCATGTCTTCTACCTCTGTCTCCCCCAGGTTTAGCAATGGTAATATGTCTCTCTGACAGCATAAGGGACCAAGGGTCAACATCAAGGCTTGTTCAACCACCCTTAAACATAGCTCTTACTATCTGATTTGTTTTCAATTTATTTTAAATATTCTTCATACTAAACAAAGAAGACGTTGTTATGGTCTAATTGTAATGTGTTATATTCACTGTGGCATCAAGCATGATCTCGAAACACGTACTCCAGCTACAGGAGTAGCAGCATGTGTGTATTAATGAACATTTGAAACTAAGTTCAGTGTATTTTTCAGCCTTCACGCTTAATCCAAACCGGGAGATCACGGAGGTGGCTGATCCACAATCTGGTAATTCAAAAAATGTCCAAGAGGGTACAAATGTTACGTTGATTTGCCCAATTGCCTGGGAGGCAATTGTCGATGTTCTATGGTACAGAACATACGGAGCACCCGAACAATACCGTCACTTTGTCCAATGTCACAGTGCTGTGTTCAGCGACTCTGTAAAAATCTCACAGAAAAAATATTTTGATGGAAAAGGATCTTGTTTCAACAATTCATATGGATTGATGATACAAAATATTGATAAACAGAACGAAGCGAGATGGTATTGTCTGGTAAATAACAAGTGGCAAAGTCCATATGTTGAAATCAAAGTCGACATGCATAATGGTAAGTGAGCATTCTTGTTATTATAATACCATGTAAATAACACTGTATTCTTCATCTTCTATTCATGGGATCACTGTCACAGTTTATGTAAAACTGGTTAGATATAATTGCATGCATGTCCACGTTTGTAAAAACACAATATATACTGTCTTATCATTTTGGTTGTCGGAACAGTAGGATCTACTTCACAAAGAATCAGTTCACCCACGACAACTATGGTGAAAGATGTCACATTAACATCAAAGTCAACAAAAGGCACGACAGAATATACAACAGAAAGAACAGATAATGAATCGGCATCCATAAACACACTGGTTCCTTTGATTGGCGGAGCTGCAGGCGGTGCGTTCGTCTTATTGGCCCTCGTGATCACTGGATGTGTTCTTTACAGATCGAGGAGGGAGGTGAACAAGCCTAATGGTAAATGTTATTAGTGAAGTATTTCACGTTATACTACAATGTGTTATTATTTTTCTTAAAAATTTTAAAAAGTCGGTTTTAGATCGTACCTTGAAACCATCATTAATACATTAATATTCCCAGTCAAACATATGTGGTCATCTGTTGCATACATAGCAGTTTATTCACATAGGAGTAATGTTTAACTGACAAGTGGTAACATTAACAAGTCAGTACCTTCGTCTGTTTCTTTACAGATGAACAGGCATCAACAACAGATTCTAACAGGTACCATAATGGAATAACAATATGCCTATACTAGTGTCGAGGAAAGTAGATAAAATAGATTCAATAGAATGTTATTATGCTACTTAAAAGGAAGTGACATTTTCTCTCACTGATCCGTATACACATTTCGTGAGCCATTGCTACATACATCATGATATCCTGAAGCAACGTATGTCCCTTTACTTTTTTTGTTGTTTATTCAGCAAGGTTTAATAGGCCATAAAGGTAAACATTAGACATTTGTAAAGATCATGAGGGCAGCTGCGTTAATGCATTGTTTCTGACATTTCTGCTATCAACTTTGATTCGTCCCAAGCATTCCATGTCGAACATCTTCGCAAAGAAACATGTATATCGTGTTCATGATATTGATAACACTCAAACCCATTAGTTCAGTTGCATGGTATTTCACTCTATCATGATTGTGTGTCTCCAGAGACCCAGGAGCAAATGTTGAAGAGGCTGTTGGTGAGTACTACACATGAACTTAATGTTACGTCGCTTCCCATTAATAGTTTGCCATGATCAATTCAAATGTAGACATAATGTAAAGAAAAATAGGTATAAGAAACCGCATTGTACTATAACACTGTCTGACGTTGCAACTCTTGTTCATGCATTAAGGAGGGTGGGGATTCCTGACATGGGTACAATGTGTGAAACCCATTTTTGGTGTCCCCAACCATGATATTGCTGGAGTATTGCTCAAAGCGGCGTAAAACCAAACTCACTCGCTCATGCATTAGGTGGAGAACATTGTCCCAGTGCCTAGCGCCCATTTTTAATCTTTGTTAAGTTAATATATTTGAAGTTGGGCCATTTTCTTTACGTAAGTAGGGTCATTAAATCATAAATCCTGTAAAGTAGGAAAACCTACTTGAATCTAACATGGTGGCGTAGTCTCTTTACTTCCGAGCACAAACATGGTGACATGTAATTGCATCAGTTGAGAAAAGAAAAGAAAAGTTCTCGGTTCGGCAATCTCAAACTCGAATGGCCAGTGTATTTGGCAAATAAGGATGGCAGGAATCTATCGTTTCATGATAAGTACCTCATACATCAATCCCCCTTCATTATCTTCCTTTCTTCTCTAAGTGTTATTATTGCCTATTGTTACAGTGATGGAGGGAAATCTCATGTACGGCAGCTGCGGCGCAGGCAATGATGACTACGCACAAATACCCTGTCGTGAACCTGCATCTGCCTCTCATGGTAGGTCTTTGTTTTCATTTACATTTGACAAAGTGAGCGTGTTAAACATGGTACAAACACATTGATGTTATGCAGATATCGGAATGATAACCTCTGGGTGAGAATGGTTGAATGATATTTGTGTCGGATGTATCTACACTGAATAATTCTACTTCTGGCATACTGGGGGCCACGGGTGGCCCATTCGTCTAAGACGCCGCAATTCGCTATACAGAGTTGCGTCCCTTGGGCACTCTAGAAACCTATGATTGTGGATTCGAATCCTGGTTCGGCCCGATTATGTTTCTAGGTTAGTCAGCAACATACCCTTCCTCGTAGATTTCACCGGAGTTTCACCGAAGTGGTAAACGTCTGAGAAGTGCATCACATCGTGCTTTCCTCCCACATGAAGCAGACACGCCGTAATATAACTGGAATAATGTTAAAAGCGGCGAGAAAACCCAACTCACTCACTCACTCTGGCATACTGACACTTTGAGCTTGTGGGTTTCATCATAGTTGTCTTCAACTGCATCCACCTTCCACATGATAGCCAATGATATAACATTCAGTGCAGAATAAATATGTATTACGAACGAGAGGGCTTTATCAACATGTGTCATGAACGTGTTTATAAACGTGAATATGTATCATGAACGAAAGGGCATAAGAATATGCCAAAATTCAAAATATAGTCTGTGTAGACTTTTTACGGTGGTAGATAATTAAGGTCCTTTCAGTATATAAACCATTGGCAATAGATTAACATCAAACGCAATCTAGTTTAGATGATTTCATAGTCTTTTTTAACATGTTGTACCTGTCTACAGAGAAGGAAGATGCCAGTGTGATGAAGAATCAACCTGACACAGAGGACGGGAACACCAATCAGTCTGGAGTAGACAGTGGGGATATCTATGCCATACCTGACAAACCCAAGAAGTCAACAGTCGAGGGTAAGTGTCCTCTTATAAGTAGTTGGGGCAAGAGAAACGGTGTCGTTTAAAACGCCGCAATTACAAGTGAAGAGTCCCTTCGCCGTGTCAGAAAAATGGAATCGTAGTTTAGCCTGCTTATGTTTCGAGGTTTGTCAGCACCATACCAGTGCTAATGATGGTCACCAAAGTCGTCTAAGATTACATTATTCCACACTTTCCTCCCACGTTGAACTGATACAACTGAAATACGGTTCAAATAGGTTTTAAGTCCAACTCACTCACTCTGTCGTTTATGTTTGATTGTGGGACTTATTCGTGTTTCTTGGTTTGTTGTTTAACGCCGCACTCAGCAATATTCCAGCTATTGAAGACCTATTCTACCGCGGACCTTGACGGGTCTCATGTGTCTGCCACGGTGGAAATGGAACCCACATTGGATTGCTACCCTGTGTGGTCTTCAGTTTACTCTGTGCTGACATATTGTTTCTATGTGTATCATGTGGTGATCCCGGGTTAGAATAAGTATGTCTCCAGGTACCTATATGTGACTTAAGAAGTGGCTGAGTGAATGTACTATTAAGGTTTAGGTAACACAGGATGTTTAGCATATAACAATTACTGATTTGTTTGGACTAGATTCTATCATTTACAGGCCGTAGTGCTACACATTGTGGTTGAAATACATATACAAAATAAATGCTTCTATGTTTTTGGTGGACGAACGTTTCAATGTATATCCTTTATTATTTCATGTGTGGTGTTTGTAGTGTCTGTTTGGACCCTTGTTTGTTGTTTCAGATGTAGAGGATGTGTACAGTCAAGTGCAGAAGCCGATGAAAGGAATCGAGTAGAATGAGGAAAGCCTGTCAGTTTACACGAGGGAGATTTATACGGTCTTGTTACTTTAACAAATAGACGTAGCATACAGTTCCCTTCCACTGAACTAGCAATAAAGGAGACCAGCGTGACCATCTCATATGTTTCATATTGAGATCTATACATAAAGGGTCATTATGACAAGAGATATCTCTACATGACTGTATGACAAGAGGGATGACTTTCCAGTAGTCAACTTGAACTTTATGTCGAGCAATAGTAAAGCAGCTCCAGGCTTTGCGGTCTACATTTCACCCCTTTTGAGATACAATCGAGCATGCCCTTTCTACCAATATTTCAAAGACTCTTGTTCAAAGGTTTTTTGATCAAGGTTAAAAGATTCAAGGTTTCAGTAAAGCCTTCAAAAAGTTTTATAGTAGACATGTCGACGACATTTCCAAATATGACGCATCCGTGACAACAAATATGTCCTATGCACTTCCCTACTTTGACTTGTACCATATGTTTCCATGTTGTTTTTCTGGTGTACAATTGACTTGCATGAACATGTGCTTGTGACAGGTGTCACACGATGGGTAGGATACTTTCACCTTTTCATGAACACCTCGTATGGTCACTATTTGATAGTGGTCCACAGACACATGTTCATGATACAGTCGGAATTGTACAATCGACTTCATTTTTATCAGAGATATATATTATGAGTTTCTTCATAAATCTTTTGACAATTTGATAAGAATAGAATCTCACCTATACAAACCGGTCAGCAAGAACGCACTGTCCAAAGTCCCAGATTATGGCCACGGTAATCTCGTAGAGCAGACTGTAAAGGAGGTTTTGGAAATTCTTTTTTTTTGTTCAAAGCATCAGCAATAGTAGGAAGTTGAGAGTCTAACTTTATGCGATCATGCCAGCCTGGCCAGTCTCAATACAACACTTCTCACCCAAACAATGGTGTAGACCTTTGTAACGACCGTGTGACCTGATCCTTAACATATATGTTTGCCTTCAATTTTACAAATAGTCATCTTGATCTAGTTTTTTTATATCTTATATGCACTGGTATAAGTTGTATGTTTTCAAGATTGTTCTTTGCTTGTTGTTTTGTACTACAGTCAGCAATATTCAAACTGTTTTCCATTTGCCTGTAACTAAACGCGCCTGTACCAGACAACCAGTGCTTGTTGATGAGGTTGGGTACGAGTACACAAATACAGCCAAGTGATGAACCCTGAACCCGGCCTTCATGTTCAGATCTATCGGTTATTGCGTCTGTCATTGGGTTCCGTGGACCTCCTGTTGCCTTCAATATGTTATTATTATGCGTGTGTAGCTTTTACGCGTTTGTCGCTTGTTGACATATTATTTTATACTTTTTGTTACTATATTGTATCAACGTGGTAATGCGTTAGAGCACTGGAACTCACATGGTTGTCAGATGATCATGACAACCAAACGTGTTGTGATGGACAAACATCCATAGAACCAGGTGGACGGGACACTGAAGAGAACGCCCTTCACTCCATCGTTTTGATGGATTTGATTTCTGCATGTTTAATCTAAAACTGAAGCAGTACGATAAGTTGGACATCCAATTGTGCTTTTATAGATTTAATTAAGAACTCGGTCGAGTTCAAACACTACTATTTAGAAATCAGTTGTTTCTTGTTAAGAAGAGGTCACCCTAAAGTATTATATTCTTCTGGACTTGTCAATCCTGTTTAACTTACATGTATATATTGCAACACATTCAAAAGAGATGTACGAACCAGAGTGTATAGTTTAATCATTTGTTATTCAAGAAATCGTGAAAAGGAAAATTGTGAAAATCATCCCTAAAGAATTTAAAACAAAATACGTGAACAATAAATAAGAAAATAAAACACTGTTATAGCATGAAAGAATTATGTATATATATCTTCTATTATCACAGTGTGTAGACACAAGTAAGGCTTGAAAATGTTAAATATTTGTAAATATGGAGATTGCTTCAAATTAAATATGTCGGTAGTATGGTATGCCATCAAGGATTTTCTGTGCTTTATTCAGATTCCTATTTGTCACTTATTCATTTTGTTCTGGTATATTTTCAATTTGAGAACAATAAACCTTTAAGATAAAATGTCTGTGTCTTTTTTTTGTCTCTTCTTGGAGCCAATGAAGGTATTTTGTTTTGTCAGATGCAGCAGAATGTTCCTTTTTCAATACAAGAATATTTTTTTTTATAATTGCGATAATATAAATACATTCATAAGTGAATGTTCATGGTTTCTAACGAAATAACGTTATGGCCTTCCAGATGGCCCTTGTAACTGTGTACACAACGACCGGGTTTCACCAGAGTGGTAAACGTCCACGACCCGCATCACCTTCCACATCCAGTGTAAATCAGGATTAGATAATGAGAAGCAAGTTCAAGTGAACTTTTTCGCACATTTGTAAATCATATTATATAAATAAGGAGTAATTTTGTGAATCAAAATGTCCAGAAACATACAGTTCACATTACGCGGAGCATTCAGTGTAGCACTCGGGTGTTTATGTCAATGCATGTTTATTGTAATGTGTGTGGTGACTGTAAACACGCTGTTTAAGAGGTCAGTGCATTTCAGAGACTATGTTGCATTTAAAGTCAAATGGCTTGAGCTAAGTATGGTTCTGAGAGGATGTGCAATTGTTGCCGACATGCCTGTACGACCAGTATGAACTGAAGATATTACCAAGCCTGTATGAAGATGAAACTGAAAAGGCCAGCACTTTAAGTTCCAGCGACTATCTTCAAACATAGATTAATCGAGAAGAGTAATATCAGTCACTGGTTTGTGTGGGCCAGACTGGTTTATTCTTTAGCCTACTGAAGCGGCTTGGGTCTTTGACGATGATATGTTTGTACTATGGGACTTGGAGCTAACTGAATGCGAAATATATGCATCGTCTATATGTTCAAAGTGAGTTTTATCTTTTAATTTGGTTTAACATATAATGTGTTGTCCGCATAGAATATATTTATGAAAAATATCTTCATTATTGAAATTGAACCTACAACAGCAATCGTTCTTGGCATACAGAAAGGCTGACCCTATGGAAATCTCAGACCTGACACTTGTACTCCCGTTTACTATTTCCAGATGACAGATAACATAGTTTTACACGAGATGCTCCATAAAAACTGGATTTCTCTGATGCTTTGATAGCTATCGACAGATGAATAAAATATATTGATAAGTATCAGACATACAAAATTCGAAAAAGGAAGTAACAATACAATTAAATAATATTACAGGTAATAGAAATACAGTGTTATTTCAGATAATAGATTGTATAGATTGTCAAGCTCTTGATATTACTTATTCATTCAGTATCCTTGTGAACTTCAAGAAGGACGTCATTGTGTGACGCACTGTGATCAACAAATAATTACAAAAACGTTTGAGAATGTATTTCAATTACGAATATACACGACCTTGATATACCTCAATACATGCATTAAAAGTAAAATAACTCCCCAAAGGAAGTTGAGACAACGTACAAAGTTTAAGTGAGAGTGATTTAAGTCACGTCGCATATAATTCAGTTGTCAAGTTTCTGGAAAAAGTAATGCGTTGATATTTTCTAACATCCTGTCATCAAATGACAATAAAATAACTAGTTATATATCACAGATATATGTTTAATGTTCCTGTCAAGAAAGAATATTACACGACACAATTGAAAACCAAGGCGAAAGAGATCGCGGGCAACTGAAAGGAAATTATTTTCACATGTTGGTTTGCGATTAGTTTCAAGTAAAGATGACTGTAATCTGCTTTTAAGGAAACAATTACACTTATGCACTTGTATGCACATTCTACAAGGTTCTAATTCATCTCTTTCTTGGATGGCTCCATTTTTTAAGAAGGTGGCGCGGTAGACTAGTGGTTAAAGTGTTCACTCGTCACCCCTAAGTGAGTGAGTGAGTGAGTTGGGTTTATCGCCGCTTTTAACAGTATTCCAGTTACATCACGGCACGTCAGCTTAATGTGGGAGGAAAGCCCAAAGTGATGCAGGTCTAAGACGTTTACCACTTCGGTGAAACCCACGAGCACGGGTATGGTGCTGAAAAACCTAGAAACATAATCGGGGCGAACCAACGTCACGCCTAAGACCCAGGTTCAATTCAACATATAGATTGAATGTGTGATTCCCATTTCTCGTGTTGTCGTAACTGCTTTCGGGCGTCAAGTGGGACCCGACTACAGTTACCTAAACACGTTGTCGTTCCTTGTCCACATGGTCAGTTAAACTTTGCAGCTCGACTTGTCAGTATCAGTCAAGTCTCAGACACTTTCTCTGAACTGTCTCCATCAGCAATTATACTCGCATAATAAAGAAACGCAACACCAGCTATATTTTCGCATTAGTTGTACTTCCTCTTAGTGCATACATCAATACACGACAGGATCAGACCGGTCAGGGTCATCACTAAGTGGGGAGAACTTAGAACGATCACACCGCGCTCTCCTCTTCTTATGTTGACGAAATGGCATGTCTTTGTCACATGACCTCATAGATGATTTTAAGTGGTTAAGACAATATCAGACCATGGACTCGTGTTTGTGTCGTGATCAGCAAACTACCGGAACTTACTTAACGATTACAAATGTCCATTGATTAACTGGCGACGACACCACCGAAGCTATCCCTAAATGTCCTGTTACTGTCATCGCCCTATTGATTTCCTGCTTGTTGCGCCAACACTTCAGCTTTCTGTCTCCATCGTTTTTAAAGCTATAATCATGAATTTAAAGGTTGATTTTGTTGTAATTGTCGAGGGTTTGGGGATACATTTTTACCTTATAACAACCTCCGCCTGTGGACAAGAGCTGTCACAACTCTGATCAAGTAAACACTAGGTGAGATCTGATATGTTAAAATACAATCACAATAAACACAATAGAAGTAAAATAGGATCGATCATTCTATATACTTAATTGTAACCAATTTAAAAAAAAATATAGTCAAAATGTACTAAAATGCTAGAGAATGTTAGAAATGATCCTATGTTAATTCGTATAATTACAAAGCATAAACATCACGATATATTATTCAAGTACAATATATAATTAATTAAAAGTGATTCATCAATGTCAAATGTCACTGTACACGGCCAAAATATGGAACAGCCATTCACGAAAGTTCATGTGTCGCTGGTCCCAATCGAATCCACTGGCTCCTTTCCTGTTTCGAAAAGTCAATTGGTCTAACGCTGTCCAACGTGTTTGAGGCCCTAACAGAAAAGTTAATGTCTGAACACAAGGCCTGTTCACACAGTATGGTCATCAGCTGGGATGTTGAAGCGAGAGGTAGACTTTTCTGGACACTGCGTGAGTGTTGACTGATCACTGTAGATGTACAGATGTTATATACTGATGTAGTCACAGCTTGTATGCGGTGGTTGTGAGCACCTGGAGATGTAGAGGTCGGTCGTGCTGACAGATAATGATAATCTCCGGTGCCTTGCGGTCTGTTCAGCGGCAGAGGTGACAGGACAAGGTACACCCTCAACAGCAAGCTTGTACCAAGAAGCCAGATTATTGATTTGGTGTGGACCAGGATACATTTTGGCAAGTGCGTGACTGTCCGCCCAACAGACTGGGGTACGGCCATTATCTACAATACTTAAAGACTGTTAACACACGATCAACATGTTAGTAATACAAATATAGAAAATCTTAACACAAAATACAAATGTGACACCTTCAGCTCAGACTGCTGCCTGTGTAAACAGTAACAGTCTTCCGGAACGTGCCTACATGCATATACATTTCACGACTACAAGAGTCGAATATTTGGACTACTCATTACAGGTTCACTTGCGTGGACCAATATAATATTCAGAGTACATTGATAAGCCGGAATGATTCTCAAAAACCCATGACTGCTTCTACAGTACAGTCTTGAGAGCTATTTTAATTTTCGAACTTACCACATTCAGCAAACGCTTTGTAGTTGATAACACCTGAACAAACAACATATATAATTATGTGATGGACTGAGAGTACACATTGAAACGCGGACAGTAATTGAACGTAACCTAGCTGTACATGTGCAATAGTAGAGTAATTTAGGATAATTTAAATACCAAGTAACCATAATATAAGGAAACCATTTCCGAATACAACTATTGTGTCTGAAGAAAAGGAATGAATACAATATTGTCGCAAAAATGAATTGAAACAGGTAGGAATATATATTCTCGTTGTGATTCGTTATTTGTTATGGAGAAGAACAACATGATGTTGAATATCACAACATAAAACACTATATTACATTAGCTTTGGAACATGGAGTATTTAAAGGATAATGTTATATTTCGAATTGGTAACCATTTTATAGCCTGATCTTCTTACTGTACCCTGCTGACAAATGTTTATAACACTCACAAATAACTAGTCTTTAAAAGGTGGTTAAAACAAGGCCATTCCAATATGAGGTATTACGGGCAAGAATAACCTGTCCAGATAAAGAAATCCTCATCATTATCTTCTCATGGCAGGTGGCACAAACAGAGAGGTCAACACAGCTTTTAACCTGGAAGAACAGAGACTGTCCACGATCAGAATAATGTCAGAGGTAACACAATATCCTGTCACTATCATCACCCTTTTTATTTCCTGAAGAGTCGCCTACTAAGCAACTGATTCGGGAGTGAGCACATTTATTTAACGGCAGTAATTGCAATACAAGGACTGATTGACATGTGTTCACATTTATATAAAGGAAGTGATTTGCTGGAGTTTACATGAAGTACAGTAAATGATTTGCGAGACTATAATAACTGTACCTAAGTACTCCTCATGCAATCCATTTCTTACAGTCCGTATCTCAAGGCGAAGTAGATCCAGCACATTTTAGTGACACACATATTGCACATTGCAAACAGAACATGAATAGGCAAGTGTCAAATAGACACGTGAGTGAGTGAGTGAGTTAGTGAGTGAGTGAGTGAGGTGTAACGCTGATTTGAACAGTATATCAGTTATATCACGAAATATCAGCTTCATGTAAGAGGAAAGCCAGGTGTGTCACGTTATTGTGCTGACGAACATACAAATACAATGGGGGCGAAATAAGATTCGGATCAATGAGCACACACCGAAGGACAGCGAATTGCAGAGCCTTGGACAACTGGGCTACCTATGTCCCCAGCTATAGCAAAGCAGTTACATTTGAACATTTTAAGTTGGGACAAAGCAATTTGAAAGTGTCAATCTTGTTGTTCTAGCAGGGTCAACATGCCGATGAATAAGTTGACACCCGCGTGTCTCGTGTCTGACCATCTTGACCGCTATGCAGAGAGGATCGGTGACACAGTTGACGACACAGCTCAGGAGGTCAAGGGGTAACGCTGCCACAGTCAAGCCAGTCAGTGACACATTTGTGTTTCGGAAGTGAGCAGCTGTTGATAAAAAGATACGAAAAATATGTTAGGAACCTACCATCATCAATACTTCACGGGCACTACCGCCATCCATCCTGATCATCCGTGAATATATACGACCGCTTGTAGTCGCTATTTGTAGCAATGAATCAAGATGCAGCATGGTTCTAGCGATAGGGAATCCACCGAGTGCTCAAACGAATGCTCAATCCCATTATGTCGCCAAAAGGGCATCTGCTCAACACATTGCTTTTGTCTTCTTTCAGTACTTGGCTTCGCACAGTCACAAGTCACTACTACACCGCTAGTCGGCCCAATGAATTTCCGGGTATACAAAACCAGTGAAGTACTGACGATGGGAACTTATTTAGATCTTATTTGTAAGTAAGCAAGACATACATTATTATCACCAAGAATGACCACCAAATCCATTTGAACTATAAGATCGATTAAAGAGCTAAATGGCAATTTAATCAAACATTTTTGTAATGTTTAAACTTATACCATTATACAGTTTGTCATGAAATGAGGAACATGCCATTCACTTTTTGTTTCATCCATTAATATAATTTTAATTCACTAAATGATTATTCAAATAGCAATATATATATGCTTTATAGTTACATGATTGCTACAGAACCTCATCCACCAACACCGCACAACAACACCGCACCACCTCATCCACCAACACCAGCTAACAAACACCCACGAACCACCACAGCCGAACGTACATACGCACATGCAGAAACACAGGCACACACGGGTATACACACAGACTCAATGATGAAAGGGCCGAAATATAGGACGTTCTGATGCAAACAAATTTCCATTGCAGATCCAAGAATTCCTGGTCAGGATCGGTCCCTGGCAATCACCGGATTGTCCTGTCCAGTTTTAATTATTTACAGGCCACAGTCATAGATGGACTATGTTTTGAGATAAGCGTTGAACACCAAACAAGAGATATCTCCGAAATTAATAGGTTAATCTGTTTGTTCCACATTGGCTTACCATACTTTTCTGGTTCATAGATAGAAACCTCGCACAATGTAAACAAGTCTCCAGCGGGTGGAGTCTTCTTCCCTGACAGCCTTACAAACCTCCCAGCAACTACAGAGTCACACATGATGTCTTGAGTTGTAGGCCTGAAGACGCCGTGGTAGTAGTGACACAACGTGGGCTGGGCGCTCACTGTGACGGCAGGGTCATCGACGTACACATCGATGGTGAAATCGTGCAGCCTGTCAGCTGAATCAAACAGAAACGTGTTTCTGTTATAAATAATAAGTAAATGGGAGTTATGAACAGATGCATTTGGGATGTCAGGCTTTATGACCTGGGTGACATCGAACCCCCATGTCGTGGGACAGATCCACCCATAAAGGTACACAGCACCGCAGCCACACAGTGACGCAACCACCCACACAGAGACGCAACCACCCACACACTGACACGGCCACCCACAGAGTGACACAATCACCCACACACTGACACAACCATCCACACAGTGACGCAACCACCCACACAGGGACGCAACCACCCACACAGTGACACGGCCACCCACACAGTGACACAACCACCCACACAGTGACGCAACCACCCACACAGTGACGCAACCACCCACACAGTGACGCAACCACCCACACACTGACGCAACCACCCACACACTGACGCAACCACCCACACAGTGACGGAACCACCCACACAGGGACACGGCCACCCACACAGTGACACGGCTACCCACACACTGACGCAACCACCAACACAGTGACGCAGCCACCCACACAGTGACGCAACCACCCACACAGGGACACGGCCGCCCACACAGTGACACGGCCACCCACAGAGTGACACAATCACCCACACACTGACACAACCATCCACACAGTGACGCAACCACCCACACAGGGACGCAACCACCCACACAGTGACGCAACCACCCACACACTGACGCAACCACCCACACACTGACACAACCACCCACACAGGGACGCAACCACCCACACAGTGACGCAACCACCCCCACAGTGACGCAACCACCCACACAGTGACGCAACCACCCACACAGTGACGCAACCACCCACACAGTGACGCAACCACCCACACAGTGACGCATCCACCCACACAGGGACACGGCCACCCACACAGTGACACGGCCACCCACACACTGACGCAACCACCAACACAGTGACGCAACCACACACACAGTGACACAACCAACCACACAGGGACACGGCCACCCACACAGTGACATGGCCACCCACACACTGACGCAACCACCAACACAGTGACGCAACCACCAACACACTGACGCAACCACCCAAACAGTGACACGGCCATCCACACAGTGACGCAACCACCCACACAGGGACACGGCCACCCACACAGGGACACGGCAACCACCCACACACTGACGCAACCACCCACACACTGAAACAATCATCCACACAGTGACGCAACCACCCACACAGGGACACGGCCACCCACACAGGGACACGGCAACCACCAACACACTGACGCAACCACCCACACACTGACGCAATCATCCACACAGTGACACAAATACCCACACAGTGACGCAACCACCCACACAGTGACGCAACCAACCACACACTGACGCAAAACTGATAAATCTGGACATGCTTGATGCTATAAAAAACAATGTTTTTTTCAAAAAATATATTTTTTGGCTAATCCTATCAGAGAATGTATGTATTGAAGCGCATGATAAACATATTCTATATCAAAACAAAAATTCAATGACCCTTTAAAAGATATTACTTGGTCGGGTCCTAACCACAATATTACAATACTTTATGTGAACACTTACCACAGCAATCTGAACGACCAACAATCTCAACTCTAGATATTCTGTAGACGTCCTGTAAGTCCACCTGCCACCAGGGATTCGTATCACCATAGCCAACGCTGTGACATGTCATGTCATTAAATACTCCTGAAGGTGACCCGTCAACAACACTTGACGTATATAGTTGACACGATTGAATGTATGTTGAGCTGGCATTGGATGGTTTCTTCAAAGCCAAGTTTCTTCCTGTGTAAGCTGTTGAAACAGTGTTCCACAGTGAGTAAGTGAAAGTAAATCAGTTCTCATGTGCATGCTTATATAAACTACTGCTTACAACTACTAACTTCTTTCTTGAAGAAGCCACAGCAGTACAATACGATCTGCTAAGGAACTGCATCAATTCCGCAAACGTACTGAACAGCGGCGTTTCTGCAAACGTACAGAACCGCGGCATTTCTGCAAACGTACTGAACCGCGGCATTTCCACGAACGTACCCTGGTAATTCCGGATACATTTGGGGTAGTATCACGGATCGCTCCTCCGCAGACGAGAGGTTGTGTTCAGTAGTGTAAGTGCAAATTATACATAACATAATGCCTTAACACGTGCTTTATAGGACAATCCCTGACCAATGGCCTATCAAGTATAAAGGGAGAAGAATATTTCACAGTTGATTTTCACAGGTGGCTTATTTTGCAATTTATGAAATTTATAGTGATAGAGTGAGTTACGACATCTCGTCTTCAAGATGTCAGCCATCCGGCGTCGAGAACTAAATACACATTTATAAAGATGATTATTAAGGACAAATTAATAATGATGTAACTTAGTTCTTCAATGCAGCACTGCTACTATCACACCAAGAAGGGCCAACAGGAAAGGTAAACCTTGCCGAATGTATTTTAGAGTGGGTTTAGTTAGTTCGTTATATATCTTTGATAGAATGCAAAACCTATTTTCAAACAGAATTGGAAGACAACCAAAGTATGTCTTCCCTGACTGGCGGAATAAGGTTCCCACTAATGAGGCCTCAAAAAGCATCATCACTATAATGTAAGCACCACTACATTAATTGTCCAAGAGGCCAGTATGTTTACAGGGGAAAAGATCTGCCAAATCACGCATCGGTCCAATCAACGTTTGGTTTCAAATACCGTCCATCAATCTAATCTTCATAACTCGTTAGGTACAGTCGAGCATGCAAGTTCTACGAAGATTCACACGAAAAGTCACACGATTCATGCTCAAAATTGGATTGATCAGGGTTACAACACCTTAAGCTTTCAAAACGTTTTTGGGTGGATATGTAGAGGACATTTATTTACAAAATTGAAGCATCGATTACTAGAATGATGTCCGATACAATTCCCATATTTCCTTTTTACTATATGTCTCCAGTCTTTTTTTTTCTCCATTTTCATTCGTTTTGCAAACACGTCATGCCATCACTATTTGATAGTGATTCAAAAGCACATGCTTAGGAGATCGGAATTGTTCATTGATGAAGAGGGAAATGGTTTTGTCACTTATATTTAGAGTCCTAAAATCACTGAATATGAACAATTTGTAACCGTAACTTATGTTACAACGTCCTGCACATGTGTTGTTCTTGTCACTGGATGCTGATACAGTTTTGGTGAAGGGGTCGAATGACTTCATCTATGTACACTGGTTAATATGTAAATTAATTACAACTGAACGTTAAATCGGCTAGGGTGAGTGAGTGAGTGAGTTGGGTTTGACGACCCTTTTAACAGTATTATATTGCGGTGTGTCCGCTCAATGTGGGAGATAAACCCGAAGTGATGCAGGTCTCAGACGTTTACCACTTCGTCGAAACCTACGAGCACGGGTAGGATGCTGACAAACCAAGAAACATAATCGGGGAGAACCGGGACTCGAAGCCCCAATCATAGAAGGGATGCAACTGTGCACAGTGAATAGGTAGGTAGGTGGGTGGGTAGGGTAGGGTAGGTGTGGGTAGGGTAGGGTAGGGTAGGGTAGGGTAGGGTAGGGTAGGGTAGGGTAGGGTAGGGTAGGGTAGGGTAGGGTAAGATAGGGTAGGGTAGGGTACGGTAGGATAGGTAGGTGGGTGGGTAGGGTAGGATAGGGTAGGGTAGGGTAGGGTAGGGTAGGATCGGTAGGTAGGTAGGTAGGTAGGTAGGTAGGTTATTCAACAACACAAAATAAAATGGGCTAAAGATTGTCAGCAACCAATGTGAGGCCACCATACTTGGGACTGTGGGGACTTTCAATAACTCTGCTACCTGCACGGTTCCCTTCAGCATTTGGCAATGGTATGAAGGTTTAACCATCCGAGTTAAATGACAAATATACGACTTCTGGCATGAATGAAAATGCTTTGAATGGCGTGGAACTTACGCTCCTAGGGGTACAATACTTTTATGTTACTTCAACCACCCCTCGAGGGTAGAGTCACAGGTCTATAATCACTCTATATAATAAGAAGTGTTGAGTGCTGAGTGCTGCTTTAGCTGCAGCAACAGTCATTGTGTTACCAATGATTCCAACATGGCTCGGTGACCAACTAAAAACGATGTCATATTGCAATATGACATACGTATAAATTAATGTCGATTTGTCGAAATATTTGCTCAGTCACGGCTGTGGGTCACGGAAGCAAACAACAAATCTCTGCGCACAATGGCGGCGAGTGCTGTGATTGGTCCGCGCTCCAACCATAACAAACGCACATGGGGATATTTACCAATCAGAGCGCTCGGGGCCATGGAGTGCGGAAATGTGAGTAAACGAACAATCACTGAATGGAAAACCGTGAATGGAAGTTTCCATGGCTTATTTTTTAAGATAAGGGTGAAACGCTTTTCATGAGCTGTAGTTTGTGTCGCTATTATGAAACCATGTTCAAATTAACAAATGTGTGGGCTTACGATATCGATGGCACCAGTAACATACAAAAGTCCAGTATCACTAGACACATCGAAAGTGGCGAACAGAAACAAGCCTGTGAAAGAAGGGAGTATGAAGGTAAAGACATTCCTAACGGTGTCGACATTGGTGATGTGAACAGTGATGATTATTGTTCAACACAGTGTATAATGATGCTAACTCAGAATCTCCTTCTGTGAAAGTGAATGATTTGCTGAACTTACAGAGACTGAATGGTCTTGATGTCAGTTATAAAACCTGAGCTAGGATACAGTTACTGGCATTGAACAGTCAATTTCGTCTGTGCTGACGACAAGTATTGTCGATGACATCAAGTCGTCTCCAGTATGTGCTATCATGCTTGATGAAAGCACAGACATTACAGTGGACAAAACGCTGTCAGTTTGTGTCAGATACGTGAAACAAGGGGAAGCCATTACAACTTTTTTATTCAATACGCACATACAGTGGGCAATGGTGCTGTGTAAGAGTTTGCAAAGTTAGGACTTAACTTGTCCAAATGTACTTCACAGATGGTGCTGCAGTGATGATGGGGGAAAAACAGGTGTTGGAAAACAGATGCAAGCACAATATTCCCCCTTTTATGTTCAAACTCATTGTGTTACTCACAGACTCAACTTGGCATGTGTTGATGCCATCAAGAAGATTGACTACCTGCTTAAATTCAGAGATAAATTCAACAGTTTGTATTTTTTCATAAACGGTTCTAGCAACAGAACAACCACACCGAAACAGCTACAGAAACTCTAAAACTTTCCGGAACTTTCTGTCAAGGAAGCCCACTCAATCAGGTGGCTAGGTTTAAAGTCGGCAGTTCTATAGTAGTGTATGAATGCTATCCATCCGTACTGTCAACATTGTTGAAATTTGCTGAAGAAAAGTGTGCCTCAGCTAAAGGATTGTTTAAGTATTTCAGTGACTACAACGTTTTGTTAACAATAGCATTTATGTCAGATGTTCATTCAGAGCTTGCTGTTTTGAGCTGTGAGTTACAGAAGAGGAATATGTTCTTCAGTGAGCTTCAACCCCTGCTTGATGCCACATTGCCGAAACTCGAGTGTTTCACGAGTACAAATGGGCAGGCCCTGACAGAGGTCAAATCCAAAATCACCAGAGAAGAGCATGATGGAGTCAGTGTCCACTATTATGAAAAGAAACTTGTCTTATCGATGCACAATGGGTGAAGAGTTTGAGAGATTGAGGAGAAAATATTTGAAGAATCTGTGCAAAAAATATCAAAGCTAAAAATCAAAGCCAGACTGTGAAATTTTCAGTGATTTTAGTAAGGTTTTGGAGCCATTCACGGTTAATGCTACATCTGATGCTGAATTTGATGATGCCCCTGCCCATGCAGCCGAGATGTGAGAGTGAGAAGAAAGTGTGTGTGGTGGAAGGGGACATGGCTTCAGGGAGAATGTGAGAATTGTTGAGCCTCTCCTGGACAGAGAGCAGTTGGTTGATGAGTGGCCACGCCTCAAAGCGATTATTATGGGTTCATTTGAGCATTTCTAAATCTGGGAATTGTGTAATAGAAATCCTCTTATTCATCAGTCTATATTGCCAAACTGTGCCAGTCTTGCCAATATTGGGCTATGTATGACAATTACAAGCGTTCAAATAATGTTTCAGTTACCTCACGGCGTCCAGTATTATGGCAGGACGAACGTATAGTTTTTTGTTGTGGACAAATAGTTGAGAAGTAAATATACGAAGCGAGGACTTTTGTTTTGTTATTTTATGTAAGCATATACAACAAAGGCAGTGGGTAATAAGATGAATCACCTTCTGATTAAAATAATGCAGTTGGCGTGGTTGGAGTTGCTAGGCAGAACATTTTTTTCCCAATTGCTTGTCAGCGCCTACAACTTTCAATGCAATATAAATACCACATAAATACAGAACATTTATGCTGCTAGTGCACAGGGTACTGGTCTACTTGGTATACTGAGATACAGTTGAAAGAGACCTTTTTCTAAAACACAACCATAATTTCATTTTTTTTTAAATCTTAAAATGTTGACTCATTTTGGGGGAAAATCCCAAAAGAGTCAAGAATAGATGAGTGAAAACATATTGGTTACCCAATGAAAATTGTAATAACCCAATTAAAATAGAAACCCTAGAGTAAAAAGCTCAAAAAGTAATCTGGAGCTCTGCTGAAGAAAAAAAACATATCATCAATGGTTGAGTTCCTTATTCTAAATCCAACTTGCTCTTCGACACTTTTTATCAATGAATCGGACCAAAATATCAAACGATTATTAATAATTGAAACATAATAATTGCTAAATATACTTGAAAGTGTAATACCTCTGCAATTATTCACCTCATTGAAGAGAAACAATAACACCAAGTGTCCAGTCTT